TAACTTAACATAACCTAATGTCACACAAGCCTCACCGAACCTTAACGTAATAATTATTCCGCAGTGATTTTCACAAGTATTACAACGAGAAGACATAACTCTAATGGACTCGTATTTGGAACTGTCCTTGTAAAGGTTTATGAGCCGTGATTTACCAGGTGTGTTACGTGCCTGAACACATCTCCGGGGTGCATTCTAACATAATTAAAAGGAATTATGTATATCTTCCTAAATATTAACTTGCACAAGGAATAATTATTTTTTGTGAAGATATGGACGGCTATGGCAATATAAACACAAATGCAGTATAATGTGATCCTTTATTGACTACGTTTCGCCCACACAGTGGGCTTCTTCAAGTCACAAACAGAACTACCTGGGGTGGAAGGAACGCGAGTATTTATAGTCCGGCTGAGGTCAGGTGAAGAATGCTGCATCTGATGATGTACCGAGTTGGGTTGTAGAGTCTAAACATCTTCAACACACCCAGAGAAGACACTGCCGAGAAGAGATACATAGTCCTTCCCACCAACTCCATTGCCAAACATGTTTCCAACATCTTTGCCAAAACATCATTCCAAGTATCTACCTCCACAACCACGACCATCAAGGACATCACCAGTAGTAGGCAGGACAAGCCTCCATCCTCTGCAGGGGTATACACAATCCCTTGTAATGACTGCAACAAGTTATACGTGGGCGAAACATCAAGGGACCTCCAAACACGTATTTCAGAACACCAATACGCAAGCAGGTCTGACGACACAAGGAATGCCTGCGTACAACACCGTAATTCACACAACCACTTGATAAACTACAGAAACTCAAGACTTATCGCCACAGAAGACAACACCCAATACCGAAGAATCCTGGAATCATCACTTATTTCTATATCCGACAACTTCAACCAGAATAGTGGCTTCTATAACATAGCTGAACCACTTGCCAAGAAACTTCTTCATCGCTATCCCACATAAGAACACTGTAGAAGGTCTGCTCACAAACTTGTCCAGTCTCCTTTCCAAGCTACCCAAGTTTTTAGACTCTACAACCCAACTCGGTACATCATCAGATGCAGCATTCTTCACCTGACCTCAGCCGGACTATAAATACTCGCGTTCCTTCCACCCCAGGTAGTTCTGTTTGTGACTTGAAGAAGCCCACTGTGTGGGCGAAACGTAGTCAATAAAGGATCACATTATACTGCATTTGTGTTTATATTGCCATTGTGTCGGTATTTTATACCATTTATTTCCATATGGACGGCTAACTTGCATTTACAAAACAAAAAAAAAACTCATGATCGAGTTCAAACCCAGCTGTAAAAGTGTACAACTATTGTATAAACCCGAGCAGAGCAAAACACCAGCCCCCCACCTGGGTTGGTGACCAGCTTACAAAAGCTATATAACTCATCAACACGAAAAAAACTTAGCTGGTATTTAGGGCCGCAATAAATATGCTGAGTTGATAAGGAAGAATAAGAGTCCCAAGAAGGATAGAGGCAATTCACGTGTGTTGTCCAGGCAGAGCGAGGAGTCTCCACTCCACCAAGGCCGCAAAATATACAATTACTTATATGGCACACGGCTGGATACAACAAAAAAAAATGAACAGCAGTGTAAAGAAACAGAAGGCGTCACTGTAAATATTCTTACACAGACAAGCTAATTATACCAAACTCAAAAATACATACTCCAAGGTTGAATATAAAATTATAGAACACTATCGTATTAGTATACACAGAAAAACCACTGTATGAGGTGCGAACTTCACCTCAGGATAGAGCGCTTTACACCGCTGAAATTTACCGAGTCTTGACTGAATTATGTACACTTAATATTATTAATACGCCTCAGAGCTATTCCATTAAACAGGAACATATACCTTACAGAGCTAATCTAGTAAACAAGGAATCAATCACTTTATAATCAGAAAAATAATACTGGGGGGAAATAATGTACAAACATACGAGTAAATACAATTATTTACTAACTGGATAATGAAAATAAAGGGAATAAACAATTAATAAAAGATTACCACTTAAACAAGATTACTGAGAAGGGATAATATTACTATATGGGGGTTATTACAATTATCTTACACAACTATGAGAAATGAGAATACAAATTATGCTGCAGCAAGGTACACTTACAGTCAATAGTCCACCGCAGGATAATCCAAGCCTCCACCTGCGTTCTTTAGCACTAGTTTCAGGAGTGGTTTCATCCTCTGAAACAAGTCTCAAGATCATCCACTTCCAGGAAGCTCGGTGTCCAAGCCTTCTCTATCCTCACTTCATCGAGACTGAGTCCCATCACTCTCACCTCTCCCCATTCACACTACCATGTGGGCGAGTACGACTGAAGCAATATTTCACCCCCCCCCCCCCCGAAAAAAAATAGAAGAACCTGGATTTCATTTTTCCAATAACGTCATATTCTCCGAATTTCATTATTAGCATAAATAAGCGTTTCTCATATTTTTTATATATTTTTTCGCCAGTATTATTTCAAGAATGATAAGTGGCTGACTCTTCGTGTTTAATACCGTAATAATACAGCATATTCAAAACTCGGATTAATTAAATCGAAATCAAGTGATGTATAATGACCTACTGGGAAGTAAACGGCTTCACACCCCTTCCCTATGACAACCATTGTATCAACATTACGGAGCACGAGTCAAAATCAACACTGAACGACACAAGGATCTAGTATTTTATTCTAGTTTATCAACATTAAGGGATGTGGGGGAACTACTGTATTTTATCAACATTAAGGAACATGGGGCACGAGAGTACCAACAAAACACTTTTAGCATCAAAACACAGAGTGCCAACATATCACTACATCACAGAGGGCACACTGCACACCTTGTCTTTGACAACAGGCACAATTAGAGGCCACGCACGCGCGCACACACACATGCGCGCACACACACATGCGCGCACACACACATGCGTGCACACACACATGCGCGCACACACACATGCGTGCACACACACATGCGCGCACACACACATGCGCACACACACACACATGCGCGCACACACACATGCGCACACACACACACACACACACACACACAATTACTTTAAGCAAGAACACACAACTCAGAAACACCCAATTAGGAAAGGAGGCACCAGCGTAGACAGCAAGATAGTGCGGCACACACCATGAAGCACGGAACTCGTGTATACAAGGCACTGCAAACCCCAATGTAAATTATGCGTATAGTGAAGAGCTGGACAGATACCTAAAGTCAGTTCCCGATCAGCCGGGCTGTGGCTCGTACGTTGGACTGCGTGCGGCCAGCAGTAACAGCCTAATTGATCAGGCACTGATCCATCGGGAGGCCTGGTCATGGACCGGGCCGCGGGGGCGTTGATCCCCGGAATAACCTCCAGGTAACCTCCAGGTAACCATCAGTAGGATGCAACCTAGGGCCGCCAGGCGGCAACTCCAAAATCTCAGAGGATGTCATGTTTATACACAGGCTTGTACATTTACGGTAGTGTGAACCTCGTGTAAACAAAGCATCAATGGGATGGAACCTCATAGCGGCAAGAGGCAACCCCACAAGCTCATATGATGCCAACTTTAGTTGTTACATTTATGACAGTGCACGGGATCCTAATGAAACGCACCCCACCACCCACAACTTCGTGCTCACCTACAATATAATGACTACCATTATATTGTAGCTCCTGGCTACAATATAATGGTAGCAGAAGAATAGCCAGAGTATACACCAACACTGGGTGGCCACTGTACGGCGCGAAAACTGCAGTATAAACAACTGCCATCATCACCACCCCATTAGTCAACCACTGTAAAGTACTAAATGATAAATATGTGCTCTTTCACTGGTATATCTGGTAACAGTAAACGAGGCAAGTGAGAATGGGGGAAGTGAGGGGTCTCTACTGTACAGCAACAGGTGTCCTTCTAGGGAAAGTAAGTCTCTACCCTACACTAAGTCCTTTAAGGACTCTATCGAACAATAGTGGCTCGCCTCTTAAGGGTTCTTTCTTTATTCAGTATTATTGGTCTTCCCGGAGTCTATCTACAAAATGGTGTCTTCCAAAGGGGTACAAAGATCTCTACCTAAAATTTAAATTTCCCTCCAAAAGGGTGCAACGATCTCTGCCTGACAGGAGGGGTTCTCTCCCAGTGGGGATTAAGTCTTTAAACAGCAGTAAGAAGTTTCCTTCTAATGTAACAAAACTACTGAACAGAAATGAGTCTTTCTACGAGTACTAGGTAACATGTGCTATTCAAAACACATCTCTTCTAAACATAAATCAGTGTGCTAGCAGAAATAAATTTCTACCACAGTAATGGGTTCCACCTATGGGGTATTAAGAGTTCAACGAACACTGGTAGGCTCCCACTTATATCTCTCCAAGTCAGAGTAAGAGTCCCCTTTATTTATTTAATTTTAATACACTAGCAGGTGATTCCATCTTAACATTAACATATAACACCGGCTTCATGAGGTAATATTTAGTGGAGTTAGCCATCGAACTAGAGGACCCGGGGAGAGAAACCACACCACACACAATGATGGCTAATGAACACACAACAACGACTTGATAACGAATACACAACAGCTTTCTGCTTGACAGGTGGCCATGTGCTAGCTAGGGACATATATGGGGGCTGTGCTTGCTAGGGACATATCTGGGGGTTGTGCTTGCTAGGGACACGTGGGGGAAGAGTGTTGTGCTTGCTGTGTGGGGAGGGTATGATACTGGGGGGGGGGTAATGTACTTGCTAGATGAGAAGTACGTTTTCTTGGGGGTTGTAGGAAATGTTCTACTGTGGATGAAGAACATGGATGTAGAAGAGTGCATTGATAGGGAGATACAGGAAGTTTGTGCGTGTGTTTGTGTGTTTGTGTATTTGTACTGATGCCAGAGAGTAGGACTGCTGCCACAACTACTGCTGGGGTCGGTGAAGGTAGGTGGTGGCACGGCATCATGCACAGCTACTCACTTCTACTACCTTACTGCTGGAGGAGTCAGAGCCAGCAGGGGCAGCGGTGCGCCTGGTGACGGTGGCGCTGCTGGAGGAGGTGCTGCCGGGGCTGGTGGCGGCTGCGGCCACGGACGCCCCCTGCGGCAGGAGCTCGTCAGAGGAGGGCCGCAGGTGGCGGGAGTCCCTAGAGGGCCTGAGCGAGGCAGAAGAGCTGCGGCAGGAGCGAGGTGGAGGAGGCACCTCGTAGAGACCATCGTCGTCACCACATCTGCAACAAAAACACACACTACAACTCTCCATCACTTAATGATCACTGGTTCTCCATCCAAGGTAATGGAGCTACTCTCTCAATCCTCAGGCGCTGTATGACCCCTACAGGTTAGCACTTCCCCAGGAATACTGTGCAATAACAGTAAAAATACAATAATATACAAATTTTCATTATTTATATATAATATATTTTATATATATATATATAATATATATATATATATATATATATATATATATATATATATATATATATGCAAGAAATAGTCGTCTCAGAGAAACTACACAAAATGTCAGAGGTGTCTGATCAACCAGGTTATGATGGCTATATAAGCTTGATAAATAAATCATATTAAGCGCTAAACCTACGTGAATCATTCAGCCCAATACGTGGTGGAGGCTCGATCCTCAGTTTCCTGAGCGAAAGAGAGACGCGCTTACTATTTCCACTCACCTATATACCTTTAATGTGTTACAAGAGTTTTACTAGTTGCACATCCCCCCCCCCCCCGGGCCAGGCTTGTCTAGTGCTTGCCTGGTCAACTAGTCTCGCTCTGCTGGCTCTAACATACAGTTTCAGATATATTCACTAGGAAGCGCTAAAACCATAGGTATGACAACTCCCGAGGAAGAAGTAACCAGGTGTGATCCAATGAAGAGGGGCAGCTCCAATTCCATGGATCAAGAGGTCTTCAGCATGAAATGTGAAGTGCAAATACCACAGACTTGAGCACATGTAACCCCTGAGACTGGCGTTGTCGGCTCCTCCAGTGTTGCCACACACAAAACACTGCCATCAGGGGAGTCTTTGTACTACTACTACTACTACGTTTCACCCAGAGCTGGGCTCGGTGAAACTCAACCTTGGCTGAAATGTGGTGATAAAACTAGCCGCTGCTACCACTGTGCTCCACTTGTTGAATTACAACATTGTTTACCACTGCCACATCCTCAGGAGACGTGAATGGTGAAGGCTCTTGTTTCAAGGAACTGCACCTATTCTTCCTTTCCATGGATCAAGACTGAGTGCCTCTCCATTACCCCCAGACGCTGTATGATGCATACAGGTTTAGCGCCCCATCAATGTAATAATAATAATACCACAGTAAAACAGTGGCGCACTCTTAAACTGTGATGTAACAAATTAACGCAACAAATAAACTGAGTTGTAGTAAATTAAGAAAATAAAGAGTTACAAAAGAGTTGTGAATTAGCAAGACAACAAATACGGATGACAAGGAGATCTCTTAGCAAGGAACAACTATATATAAACTGAATAAAGATTACGGTAAAGGCCCTTCATTAATAAAGGTTTCACTGAATGCCCTTTATTACATGATAATCTCAACTACAACGAACATCTGATGGCGAGAGAGAGAGAGAGAGAGAGACACACACACAGACAGATAGAATTGAGATTGTATAACCGTAAGATTACAAACCAGACACTTGTGAGCGTTGTATTATTTTGTCCATGTGTGTGTAATGTTACTTACAGAGTGCTAGCATCGTTTGATTATTCAACATTCTATACACATTCTGTTTCAAATAGTGTTATATTTATACCATCAGAAACAACTCGATACTCTCGCTACCATTTCATTTTCGTAAAATAAAAATAATCAACTAGGCCAGTAAAACTATTCAAAGTATTTGTATATTTCACATTCTATATTTATACTCTCCCTGGCATCGGCAGTGTCAGCAGATTTATAGGAAAGGGAAAATATCCCCACCTTTTGGGCCGAGAGATTATGAGGTATTAGGCACGCATCGTGGTGGAAGTGGCACCGTACCTCCTAAACGAAAAGTAGACCAGGTATATAGGGAGCTAGCTAGCTAGCTAGCTAGCTAGCTCTCTCTCTCTCTCTCTCTCTCTCTCTCTCTCTCTCTCTCTCTCTCTCTCTCTCTCTCTGTATACTCACCTGTGGTTACAGGGGTCGAGTCATAGCTCCTGGCCCCGCCTCTTCACTGGTCGCTACTAGGTCCGCTGTCTACCTGCTCCATGAGCTTTATCATACCTCTTCTTAAAACTATGTATTGATGCTGCCTCCATTACATCCCTCTCCAGGTTGTTCCACTTCCTGACAACTCTATGACTGAAGAAATACTTCCTAACACCCCTGTGACTCATTTGAGTTTTCAACTTCCAGTTATGACCCCTTGTTACTGTGTCACATCTCTGAAACATTGTTTCTATCCACCATGTCAATTAATCTCAGTTTTTATATGGTTTCATGTCCTTCCTATCCCTCCTGTCTTCCAGTGTTGTCAGGTTGAGTTCCCTTAACGTCTCCTCGCAAGACAAAGCCCTCAGCTCCGGAACTAGTCTTGTTGTAAACCTTTGCACTTTCTCTAATTTCTTGACATGTTTGACCAGGTGTGGGTTCCATACTGGCTCTGCACATTTCAATATGGGGCTGACGTACACGGTGTATAGCGTCATGAATGACTCCTTATTGACATGTCGAAACGCTATTCTCAGGATTGTCAGGCGCCCATAGACTGCAGCAGTTAACTGGTTGTGTGCCTCAGGAGATATACTCAGTATGATGCTTACCCCAGGATAATTTTCCTTGAGTTTTGCAGCCTTTGACCTCTTAGGATGTCCTCCGTCTGCGGTCTCCTTTGCTCTTCCCCAATCGTCATAATTTTGCACTTGCCGGGGTTAAACTCCTGGAGCCATTTGTCAGACCAGGCTTGCAGCCCGTCCAGATCCCCTTGTAGGCTTATCCTATCCTCTTCCGCTTGTATTTTCATTAGTCATCTCATCCTCGATTGTGTGCATTATGTTCAGCACTTGCTGGTGCACCCTACCACCTGGATTTTCTGGGAGCCTCTCTGTCTCCACTGTGAATACCTCCCTGAATCTTGAGCTAAGCTCTTCACATACTTCCTGGTGGTTCTCTGTGAGCTTCCCTTCTTCCTTCCTCAACCTGATTACCTGATCCTTGACTGTTCTTTTCCCTCTGATGTGGCTGTATAACAACTTTGGGTCAGATTTGGCTTTTGATGCTATGTCATTCTCGTATTGACGCTGGGCTTCTCTCCTTATTCAGGCATATTCATTTCTGGCTCTTCAACTCAACTCGTTTTCCTGGGTGCTTTGTCTTCTCTAGTTTTTCCACCAAACTCTTGCACACTTGGCTTTGGCTTCTCCACAGTTCTCGGTAAACCAATGGGCTAATTCTAGTCTTCCGGGTCACAGTACGTGGCGAGGTGTTAGAATGGGCGCCTGTGACGAGAGGGGTTCCACAGGGGTCAGTCCTAGGGCCGATACTGTTCCTGATATTTGTGAACGACATGACGTTCTGTTGCCCTCTAGTACGAACTTTTCTACTGCCTCCCTCCACTTTGTGGTCTCGTGTTCCATTTCATTTACTGTCTTTCCCTCTCGCTTACCCACTGCACCTCATGAAGGAACTGTCTCATACTTGTATAGGCCCCTTTTTGGAAGTCTGGCTTCTCCTGTCATTCTCGTGCTGCTTCACTCTCCATTGTTAACTCCACTATGCATTCGAAACTCGAGACCATGTGGTCACTAGGGCCTAGGGGCCTTTTGTGTGTGATATCTTCTATTTTTTGACTGCTCAATGTGAATACGAGGTCTAGCCATGCTGGTATATCCTGTCTGTCTCTGTCTGTCTGTCTGTCTGTCTCTCTCTGGTCGTGTCCTTAATATGTTGGTACATAAATTTTCTTGTACTGTCTCCAGCATCTTGGCTCTCCATGTGGCTTCAAATTCTCCCAATCTCAATCTCTTTATGGTTGAAATTCCCTATGATGAGTAACTTTGTCCTGCTCATGTGGGCCCTTCTGGTGATGTCGGATAGTTTGTCCACCATCATTCGTGCTCTCATTATATTCCTGTTTTGGCCTCCTCTTGTTCAGTGGTAGGTTGTACAACACTCCTACCATCACTTTTTGGGGCCCCAGTATGCAGTCTTCCTATGCAGTTATCTGCTACCCCTCTGATTAGTCATTCCATCTCCTCAGAAAGCCATTGGTTCTTGATAAGCAGTGCAACTCCTCCGCCCCCCGCCCCCCTCTTTCCTAAGTATCTAATATCTAGATGGAAAGATCTCGTGTTATTGCTTCTGTGAGCCTTGTCTCTGCGATTGCTATGATGCCCGGGGATGCCTCAGTGATTCTTTCCTGCCACTCTTCACTCTTATTTGTAATTCCATCTGCGTTGGTGCACATCTTCAGCTTCCTCTCTAGGACTGAAATCTGGGAGGTGGGAGGGGTTGATGATGGCTGTGGGTGTGGTAGGCAGGCCTTAACATTATGGTAGTCTGCTGGTGTGGCAGTATTAGTGCTGGGAGGGGTGGGGACAGTGGATGTGGAGTGTAGCTTGGCTCTTGTTATTGTGTTTGGTTGGTGTAGGGTGGGAGGGGTTGAGGGGTCTGTGTGCAGTTGTGTTTGCTGTTCCCTTCGAGGATGTGCTTCCCTGTCTGCCGGTGCCTTCTGTCCCCCCTTCCCCTCGTGCCTCTGGTACATTGTGTGTGTGTGTGTGTGTGTGTGTGTGTGTGTGTGTGTGTGTGTGTGTGTGTGTGTGTGTGTGTGTGTGTGTGTGTGTGTGTGTGTGTGTGTACGTACACGCAACTATGTTGCAGAGGTGGAATCTCAACTGCTAGCAGCCCTGCATCTTTGACCGACTCTTACTGGATACAATCTTATTCTGGTTTCATTATCCCTATCATAAATATTAAAATTGCGTGTAGATCCTGCTTCTGTCATTTCGTTGTCAAGGTCATACTTCTTCCTGATACACTCAGACTGAAGCAACACTTCCTGACTTCCCTGTGACTCACTTTATTTTTTTTTTTAGCTTCCAATTTTGCACTCGTGTGCCTGTTTCCTGCCTCTCGAGCAGCCTGTCCCTATCTACCCTTTCAATCCCTGGGTTTTTATACATCGTTATCCTGTTTCCCCTAGCCTTTCTTTCCTCTGCTATCAGGTTTAGCTCCTGTAGTCTCTCCTCAGCTCTTACCGCATAGCTCTGGGATTACTCTCGTTGTAAATCTCTGCTCTTTTTTTCCACTTTTTTTTAACATGCTTGATAAAGTGAGTTCCATGCTGGTGATGCAAACTCTGAGAAGGGCCTGACATATGTCGTGTATATAGTGTCGGGAACGCCTATTTGTTGAGATTCCTAAAAGCTAATCTTACATATGCCAATTGGGCTATTAACCCTGCGATTAGCCCAGATTTGGAGTGCAATGGTAAACCCCGCCTTGGGTCAGGCAGGAGCTGCTGCATTTACGTAAGATAGAGGTGACGAACGCTTACTGGGAATCCAGCACTGTGGCTGCAGCTGTACAGTCTTGTACATTCACTCCCCTCTGGACTACACCTCCCTCCTCAGCCACTACTTTATAAGACGTGTGCATTCACCAGCCATAAATTTAAGATAAAATTCAGACTTTTTTTTTCTGCAATTTGTGAGTTAGCTTTGAATTGTACTAGCCACGGTGTAGTGACCTTTCCCAACTTAATAATAATCCTGAACTGACTGAAACCCCCACTTAAAATTTCCTCTCCGAATTTTAGGGTTAGTTGTGAATGGCTCTAGCCAATGTTTGGTGATATTCTTGTTTCTGAACTGTGCCTTTTATTCTCTTCGCATTGTGCCTTTTATTCTTGCATTGTGCCTTTTATTCTTGCATTGTGCCTTTTATTCTTGCATTGTGCCTTTTATTCGCCTTCATTGTGACTTTAATTTTACATGGTGCTGATAGTGCAGTAAAGGAAGCGCGAAACACTCAGGGATATTACAGTGCCTGTGGACAGGGATTCAATGAAATATGATCCCACGTAGGTATGTACTGTCCAGACATGGATAACTGAGCAGCTCTTGGTAGTCTGCAGAAGTGATTATCTACCTACAGAACTCGCCACGTGCACAAGCTGTTCCTCCACGAACATACACAAGGTGCAGGCAGGTTATGAAATTTGAAGAGCGCTTTGACCAGGTAAGTCACTCAGTACTCTTGGCAGTGAAAAATAAATACCACACATTAAAAACATCAAGGGTAACATTAGCAATAAAAACCACTAATGCGAATAAAAATAAGAAATTACAATGGTAAAATAATCAACATTGTTAAAAAAGTACCACTAAATAATCAAAACCCAAAAACTAATACCACCAAATGATGTTACCTTTAATTTTTTAAGAAATGAACCAATAACTCATTCAAAAGCCTTGGTCAGATGACCAAAAGCGCTTTCCAACGGCGGATCATTGTGACTACAACCTACGTCAGGAGGCATTAATAAAGTTTCCTGACGCATCTAACCCAACCTATCCCATTAAATTGTCACTGTCAAAAGACTTCTAAAAAACATCCCGAGATCCCTACATGTGCCCAGGTAATTATAGAAAACAAGTTAAAATGTATTGCCCAGTCAGCCGCACGCCCCAAGCTACACAGAGGGCAGCAGCAGTACACACAACAGGTGGATATGATGGGTCAAACGTCTATTGCCGGTGCGAATCAACAGAATGCATAGGGTGTGGCAAGAGTTACTCAAAGTGTCACCTGCTGCCACACAACCCGACGATTCGTATTTGGCATGGAGCCAGCCTGTGTGTGTACATGCAGTAATGATGCACAGACAGCAGCGCAAGGATATATGTGACCTAAGGGTGAAGAATGTTTCAGTATCAATAAGTGAATGTACAGGATACTTACTCAGACGTCTGGCTGCGATAGGAGAGGGAGCCTCTGTCACTGCCACTCACTGTCTTGGGTGGAGGCGGCACGTCATAGATGGACCAGTCCGACGTCGCCTCTGACACACGGCTAGCCACCGACGTTCGCCCGTCACGGTCCGATATCCGGCTCTCACGGTCCGACGTTCGACTCTCCCTGTCTGAAGCTCGGCTCTCCCTGTCCGAAGCCCTGCTCTCTCTATCGGAAGCCCGACTCTCTCTGTCTGATGCGCGGCTGCTGGCTCTGTTCTCTGATAACCTACACATGCTCTCTCCATCTGCAGTACAGGAGGGGAGGGGAGGGAGACAGGAAAACATTATAAACCTCACAAAAGAAATATTTCCTGTACAAACCCTGACCCTAACACCATCTCTACCAGTCCTATTACACTATGCATCCCCGCTGCCTACAAACCTCCTTATAATATTTACGGGGAAATCAAACCCGTAGGGATTTAAAAGGGTGGTCATCAAGCCTGATGCAAGGAAGGGGAGGGTAGCTCCAGTTCCTTGGATCAAGAGCTCTTGAGCAGTATTAAGGCTTGAAGGGCTACAAGCCTGAGCTGTGAGAGCCACGACTACAGCGGCAGCAGCCAACACTAACACAACTCACTACTCATCAAATACTTACACCACAATGCTACAGCAAAACAACTCCACAACAGCATTCATAAACAAACCAACTGACATCAGCATTCTAAAATACATATTCACAAATCACACTAGTTAATAAACTCAATATAATACTGGCACTAGGAAAACAATATTTTTTACAATACCACTACAAATAATGTCATTATTCAAGGTTTAAATCATACAGGAATAAAAAAGGTTGAAGGTTTCATGAGAAAACTGGAAGAGTACCTGCAGAAAAGGTTATCACGGCTTGACTAATGTGGCAATGTCGTCCTGCTGGCTGCTGCCAGCCACAGCCTGATAGACCAGGCAGTTAACGGTGAGCTCTGGCCAAGCTTCAAGAGAGTAACTCTCGAAACCAGTCACTATCTGGTTTACATAAATTGAAGGGAAGACGATATATCCAAATAAACCGAATAGTGACACATTTCCAGCTTACCACACCTTGTTCAACCCCCTCTGATCACATCATCAGGTTTACAAGGATCATACAACTTCTTTGGGAAATGAAAGGCACTCACGCTGGGTCAGCAGCTCTCCCCCTCACCAAGAACTCTCATTACTATATAATCAGAGAAAGTGCTAAACTGACAAGGGTCATACAGCAATGTGGGGCATTATGTGGTGCAGAGGTTATAATTAGCTAGGTGGAGAGGGGATCAGGGGTGAGGGAAGAAAAGGGATGGAAGGGACGCTAAGCACTGTGTCAAAGTTCGTATAATAAGGCAGTTGCTGACAAAGTCAAAAAGTGCTTGGGAATCAAAGGGGAGGGTCATCTGCAAGTAGAGAAGATAAGGTAAGAGTGGTAAGGTGGCAGCATCATTGGAGGTAAATCCTGCGAGCTCACTGGTAAATCGGGCAATCAACAAGGAAGTGAAGAACCGAAATAGGGACCTGACAAGCCTCACAGAGAGGAACAGGGCATCTATCCATGAGTTACCCATGGGCAAGCCATGTATGACCAATGCGAGGTGGAAGAGCGCAGTCTCCCGAGAATGGCAACGGAGGTAGGAAGATGGCCACAACCCTAAAAGCAGTTTAATAGGGCGCAATTTGTTACTGCATGTGCCCAACCACCGTTGTTGCCAACAGCAGCAGAGATGGGCAGAGATGACTGGAAAATAGTCCCTGTACACAATACCCCTATAAGAAACCATGAGATCATGTATCGCGGGCAGTGCAGCAGCATGTGCCTGCTCATTGCCCTGCACACCAACATGACTAGGGACCTAGCAGAAAACGACATTTTTGTTCTTGTTAGCCACGGATGCGACCATTGTTGAATACGGAGGACTAATGGATGGGGGAGTCGAAGCGTTTAATGGCTTGTAAAGCACTGCGGGAATCCAAAATTATCACAAACGTCGAAGGAGACGTATGTAATACAAAGTGCTATGAGGATGGCATACAACTCTAAGGTAAAAACACTAGCCAGTCCAACAAGTGGCCTCGGACAATATCATCAAGGTAAACTGCTACGAACCCAACACCATCAGCAGATTTAGAACCAACTGTATACACAGCAATAGCATGAGCATGTGACCGGAAGTGCTTGAGAAAAAGAGAGCTAGTAGCAGGAGTAGGAACTGTAGGAACTTAGGAGTAGGAACTGTACATAAGAACATAATAAAGAAGGAACACTGCAACAGGCCTACTCGCCTATGCGAGGCAGCTCCAATTCTCCCACTGGCTTAAGCCAATTCCTTGATGTAGTGAGGTCAGACACATCACTTAAGGGAGAAGCAGTGCATCCAACCTAGTAGCACAAGCTAGTCAGGTCCAACTCACACTCACCCACACATGTATTTATCCAACCGTCTATGACGGTACTCGGGAGTTTGTTCCACTCATCCATAACTCTATTACCAAACCAGTGCTTTCCTATATCCTTCCTGAATCTGAATTTTTCCAATATAAAGCCATTGCTATGAGTCCTGTCTATGTTAGATATTTTAGCACACTATTTACATCTCCTTTATTAATTCATTTTCCATTTATACACCTCAATCATATCTCCCCTAATTCTATGCCTTTCTAGAGTGCAGATTCAGGACCCTCAGTCTATCCTCATATGGAAGATTTCTGATACATGGGATCAACTTTGTCATCCTCCTTCGTACGTTTCCCAGTGCATTTATATCCATTCTGTAATAGTGACCAAAACTGTGCAGCATAATCTAAATGAGACCTAACCAAGGATATATAGAGTTGAAACAACCTAAGGACCTCTATTATACTTCTTGCTATTATTATTATTATTATAATAAAAAAGAAGCGCTAAGCCACAAAGGCTATACAGTGCTGCAGGGTAGGGAAGGAAGCGAGGGTATCAGGCGGCAGAAGGGGGGAGGGATGATTAGTAGGTTACAGAAAACAGCAGGGCAGGGGATAGTGCGGGGGTAGAGGGTAGCAAGAGATTGAGGTAGAAAGGGCTGAAGGTATCATCATCAGAGTTTGTGGAGTAAGTCAGTTGTTGTCAATGTGAGAGTCCGGATGAAAGGTGGGTCCATCAGCAAGAAGGGAAGGTAAAGAGAGAGCAGCGGAGTGAAGACGACGTTGGAGGTAAATTCTGCGTGCTTGTTGATAAGTGGGCAGTCTAACAGAATGTGGCTGACCAATACTGGAACCTGACAATTCTCACAGAGAGGAGCAGGGCGCCTCTCCACGAGATATCCATGAGTAAGACGAGTATGGCCAATGCGAAGGTGGGAGAGAGAGTAGTCTCCCAACCTCGACACTGGTGATAAGAAGACTACAAGTAGCCTATACTCGGTTTAATAGAACAAAGCTTGTTATTGAGCAGAGCAGACCAACGTTGTTGCCAACGGGTGTAAAGGTGGGTAGCTATTACAGCAAAATAGTCCGGAAATGGAACACCTCTATATGAAATTGGTAGGTCATGTACTGCTGACTGCGCAGCAGTCTCTGCCTGTTCATTGCCCTGTACGTCAACATGACCAGGGACGCAACAAAAAACAATATCTTTATGCTTGGTAGAGATATGGCGTAGCCAAAGTTGGATATGAAGAACTAGGGGTTGAGGTGTATCAAATTTCTGTATAGCCTGTAGAGCACTAAGGGAGTCTGAGACAACCACAAATGATGATACAGGCATAGATGCGATACGAATAAGTACTGCAAGAATGGCATACAATTCAGCAGTAAAAATGCTAGCCGAAGATAGTAAATGCCCTTGCACGACGCTGTCTGGAAACACTGCTGCAAATCTGACGCCGTCAGAAGATTTAGAGCCATCTGTGTACACAGCGATGGCACAAGAATGAGAGTGGAAGTGGTCAAGAAAAAGAGAGCGGAAAGCCACCGTATGCAGTTGGGCTTTCGAGCAAAGGAGTGAGAAAGAACAGACTCAAACAGCTGGAACTTCCCAGGGAGGGTAGGGAAAAGTGAGATGCTACATGAACATATAAAGGTGGTAACTGAAGGGAAGACATGAGTGAATGTAGGCGAAGAGAGAAGGGATGGAGCAAACAGGGGCGGCAAACAAATAAAGAATGTCTACTAAAATCAGTGACCATTCTATAAATGGAAGGATTGAGGAGATCGTGAGAGCGTACATAGTAGCAAAGGCAATGGGCATCACGGCGATCAGACAAGGATGGAACATTCGCTTCTGCATAGAGGCTCTCAACAGGGAAAGAGCGAAAAGCACAAAGGCATAAACGTAATCCTTGGTGATGGATGGGGTTAAGGCTAGAGAGAGTAGCAGGAGAGGCCGATGAATAGATCTGGTCACCATAATCGAGTTTCGATAAAACGAGGGCTGAATGTAGGCGAAGCAGAGTTCGACGATCAGCTCCCCAGGAAAGATGAGCAAGGGTTTTAAGAAGGTTCAGCCAGCTGTGACAAGTTGTCTTTAGAGAGGTAATGTGGGGTTTCCAGGATAACCTACAGTCAAAGAGAAGGCCTAGAAACCTGACTATCATGTTCAGGGATACGGGTGCCATAGAGGTACAAAGGGTGATCGGAGATGACAGAGCATCTAGTGAAAGTAATTTGGTGAGTTTTGGTACTGGAAAATTTAAACCCATGCGTGGTGGCCCAATTGGAAACACGGTCAAACCGCATGCTGGAGAGAAACTGTAATGAGGTGACAGTCAGTGCCTGCACAAGCAATAGCGAAGTCATCTACATAGAGTGATGACCAAATATTGGATGGAAGAACAGAGGCCAAATCATTTATAGCAAGGAGAAAAAGTGTTGTGCTCAGAACACATCCCTGAGGGACACCTTCAGCTTGGACAAAGTCCAGGGAGAGCACATTATTGACTCAAACACGGAAATGTCTGTCAGTTAAAAAGTTCTTAAGGAAAGATGGTAGATTGCCTCGGAGGCCTAAGGAGTGGACTTGGGCCAAAATATTATACCTCCAAGTTGTGTCATATGCCTTCTCAAGGTCAAAAAATATGGCAATAACTGAGTGGTTATTCGCAAAGGCATTACAAACATATGTATCCAAACGTAGTAGGGGGTCTATGGTAGAACGGCCCTTACGAAAGCCATATTGACAAGTGGAGAGACTGTTGTGTGTGTCTAAATACCACATTAAACGTCTATTTACCAGACATTCCATCACTTTGCAAACTGCACTGGTAAGAGCAATGGGACAATAGTGGGAGGCTTC